ACAGGACCCACCAACAACTTCAGGTAAGATTAGCTTGTATTATCTATGGTGGCCTGATTGTACGATTCACACACATTTCTATATTACCTTTAAAGGTCCTGTGGAAAAACATTAAAGTGCACTTGAAGAAAACAACAGCCATCNGTGGCCTGATTGTACGATTCACACACATTTCTATATTACCTTTAAAGGTCCTGTGGAAAAACATTAAAGTGCACTTGAAGAAAACAACAGCCATCACTCGTAGGAAGTGTTTCAAGAGCTCCAGTTAGACAAGAGACAGATGACCTTGGAGACTTGTTAACTGGGATGACTGAAAGCCAGCAACCCCTGGAAGGTATCCCACACAATGATCACCTGGACAGTTCAGGTGGGGAAACACTTCAATACTCATCAGCTTTAGTATATACATATTATTGTCCCCAGCAGGTTAGCATAAGCTAAATAGTATTGTCTTTTGCACTCTGATTAAAAAATACTGTCATGGCTTCAATTCTTGACATATTATGTCTAATATTGAAATTCTTTTCTAGAAAAAGATGACCTGAGCTTAAACCAGATGTTAGAGGAGCCAGAGCAGAGACAAGAACATCAGGCCAAGAGGGAAAAGGCTGACCATTCCTGAAAAACTTGCTATAGAGTTCCATGAGCATAAATTACAGTATTTAAAAGAAGAACATGAACTCAAGACGAAAATCCTTCATGTTGAACCAAAGAGGTGGAGAGAGACATGAAGCAGCAGAAGCAGCAGCAATGTCAGTGCTCTTTGTAACACTGCCCCTGTGCTGCAAAACAAAGGTGTCTCTGTAAGTGTGTCCAGTTCTGTTGTTGGCTACTTCTGCCATGGGAACATGTGGGTCATTGCAATATTCAGGTGGTGGGTCTGGGGAGCCATGTTGTCTCAGGTAATTATGAAGCACTGCTGTTGCCACAATGACAATACAGCATCTTCTTGGTTCAAAACGTAATTATTCCTGAGACAATGGAAACGATTCCTCCAGATACCAAACATGCACTGCACTAGCCCTCTGGTGTGGATATGAGCCTGGTTGTAGCGCTGTTGCTCAGGTCTGACTGGATGAAGATAAGGGATGAACAAGAAGTTTGTCTGTGCATAACCACTGTCACCAAGTAGGATTCCACTGTGTTGTCCTGCTTCAAATTGAGCACACAAAGCGGAGTTCTGGAAAATCCTTGAGTCACGTGTTGAAGCGCTCCAATGTGCAACAATGTTGGAGAACTGCATCGTGGGAGTGCAGACGCCTTGCACATTTATTAAAAAAACGTTTTTTACCTGTATAGCTCAGCATCTTCTGCTGAAGGACACCTAGTAGGAATATGACATCCATCAACACAACCAATGACTCCAGGGAAGTTCCCATATTTATAGGACTGTACCTTGTAGGTGGCCTGATCAGCAGCATCAGGGAAGTTGATGTCGTCCTTTCTCAGTTCACATGTTGCTTTGCCGACTTTGTGCACTATTTTGCAGTCAGTGGATTCACTCACACCACACAAAAACCTCACGGTGATAAGTACCTATAAGGAAGGAGGTATAGAGGTTCCCCTCACTGAGTCACATGAAAGCTTTGTCTGAAGCAAACAAAAGATTTCAGCTGCATTGTGTTTGTACATATGAAATCAGAGGAATTCATATGCTGTTGATCAGGCCACCTACAAGGTACGAAAAGGGTCACGGAAATCCATATCATCAAATTAATTCAACGGGTTAATTCTGTCTCTGAGCAGTCTTCTTTCTGGTCTTGGCGGTGGTCTTTCAGCGTCATTGATGTAGTCGAGGTAATCCATTTTCACCATGCACTGTGAGGCATGCAGCCTTTACTATGAAGTTAAACCTGTGGCCAGGTTTAATTTAAGTCTTGATTTAGACCTGGATTAGCCCTAGTCTCTCTTCAAGAAAGAAGACCATTTAACTCAAGACCAGGACAACTCTGAGACTATTTTAATCCATGTCTCAGAAAGCCATTTCAACAAATCCTGGTTTACAATGTGATTTAATCTAGAACCAGGGCTTAATCCCTGTACGGGAAACCGGGCCATAGAGTTTGAGAAAACAGTCCAGAATCTTGTGAATATACAGTGATACAAAACAAGCAAAATTTGCAAATCCTGCACATATTTAGCAATTCTGCAAAAATAAAAAATACTGAAATAATTAAATGATGATGTCAAGCAACGTGCGGTAATCTTCCTGTCAAACTGATTAATCGCCGACTTGTTCCAGCTCTACTGATGTGGATATGTTCCCTGTGTAATTTTCTGTCTCTAACTCTTTCAGATTCATTCCCTTAAACTCTGCATTTTTGGCTAGTAAACATACTATTTTACATCCAAGCAACCTCCAACTGCATCTCGCATCTGTTCTCAATTTACAGAAGCTCCCGTTTCATAATTGTGCCTCTGAGTCTGTCACATCGCCCCACGCTTTATAATTTCTATTCCTCATTCGCCGCTCTCTTGCTGCATCAGAGCACTTTCTATTCCCTGTGGTTGGCCACCGTCAAGGGAAGCCCACTTCCTCATCCTGGAACTCCCCGAGCCCCACAGGGTCACAGGACCGGGCCGGCCAATCAGAGCGTGGCGAAACGCAGCCGTCAAGCTGTTTACAGGAAGTGGACAACAAGCCTTTTGTGTTTGGCTTCTATAAAAGGAAATTCTGTGGAGGACTTCCTGGAAGGAGTGATGAAGCCGACACACACTGCCCGCTTCCAACCTCCCTTTCATTCACTCGCACAGAAATATATACTGCTCCACACGGGCGAATGAGAAAACAAACTGGCATTAATGCAACATACATGTACACACACATACTCTGTCTGAGCGCTCTACTTTCTACAGTCCCTTCACTGATTATGGGTCTGGCAGTGGCTGAAGCACACCCAGCTGTGTACACCTACAATGAACACCTTATCCTGTTATTCAAACAGCTGCCTCACCCCTGTGTCAACATTTTGACGGATTAAAATCATCAGCCTGGCAATATTCAGGCTGTGGATCAGGCACAAAACTGGCCTCAGGATTCAAAGTCCAAGCGTGTTAGTTTGGTGAACAAATGATGGATGGTTCAGTAAACCTGCAGGATTAACAGCGTGGATGGAGAAAGCACAGGCGCAGATTCATTAAACACTGATGTATAGCACTTGTTGAAGCCACATTGCTCCGGCTTTCCAGGGCTTGAAGCTATTGTCGCTAATTTGAAAGGTCGAAGCTTACAAATGTTTTCGTGACAAAACAATCAACTGATTATTATTTTTTTTAAATTCAACTGTCCAACTGTTTCAGATGTACATTTGGGATGAAGCCTTCTTTGGTCAGGAATATACGTCTACTGAGCATTATTTTGTTTATTTTTTCCTCTATTAAAATCAGAAACATCTCTAAAAAGCTACAGAATTTCAGAATAAGCCTTAAAATAAACTTCCTGTGTATCATATCTCGAGATTCTCTGGAACCGAAGACTTCTGAGATCTTTCAAACTTGGAGGAATATCAGGGACATGACCTACGTGCCCTCAAAGCTGATTGCTGGCAGGAGGTCCACAGTAAAAAAACGATGTGATTATTATAACAATTTACTGTTGTTTCACAGATTTTCCCTGTTTTGCTTAATTACAGATATTAGCTAGTAAAATCACTTAAGTAAGGTGTAGCTACATGTTAAATGTCATAAAACAAGCCACAACTGTTAATGATGTCACTCTTTCTGCTGTATTTAAATCAGCAAAATTATCATTATTTTAAAAATATTTTCCATTATTTGGAAGAAAAAAAATATTAACGATTAAAAAATGTGAAATATGTTTTAAGTGTGATTTTCCAGATCTCTACTTTGAAGTTAAATCTTGAGAAAAATCACAGAAAAGGGAATTAATTTACACACTGACTGTGCAAAAAAAAAAGGTCGAAACTGCAAAAATTGTTTACAATATTTAACAACGTTTGACTGTAAAATTACACATATTTTACTGTATTTTTATATCAACAAAAAATATTATTATTTTACAGATACATGCCATTATTTGAAAGAAAAATATGATTTTCCCTGATTTCTTAAATTACAGATAATTATAATAATAATCTAGTAAAATAATTCAAAAATAGTATTAATTTATATGTTAACTGTAAAAAATTAAAAAAAAACTACACATCAAAAATCTGCATTTTTACAAAAAGCTATTTGTTCTTTCACAATATATGACTGTGACTTTACAGTTTTACTGTATTAAACTCTGCTTAAAAAATATTATTTTAAGGATATTTTCCACTGCATTCTGTATTTTTTCTATAGTTTTTGGAAAATTGCAGTATTCCAAGTTTAGCACCATTGTTTCCAGAATTTTGCTGTTTATTTTTTAACAGCATATTTTTTTTTTTTTTTTTTAAATAGTGTAGTAGTTGTGAAATCAAATTATTTTTGTAACAGAACATGTCCAATAACACAACATGGATGCCTCTGCTTTAAACCACGTCCCTCCTTCTCTTTTGTTTGTACCATTATACTTATCTACATACCTATTTATTTAGAGTTTATCTCGGTGAAGTGACAAAAGCAAATCAGTTTAACCACAGAGAAAACAAACCGTAACTCAAATTGACAGCACCCTCTGCTGAATTAAACCACATTTTATTAAACCAGCCTGTCACACATTTAGCCCAGACTCCAGAGGCAATTATCACACACGTTTTGTGTAAACATCACATCACTAAAGAGTCCCTGCAGACTCACATTACAATAGTGTAAGAAAACCACAAACCCCACAAACAGTAGGATCTGGATTTCTGCCTGCTGTGCTTTATTTTTATCTCCTTCAAAGAGAGAAAAAAGCGTCTTTTCAACAGCTGGAAAAAGACGTTGCCCCTCAGTCAGAATGCTCCATGTGCCAAAATAAGCTGATAGTAAGTGAAAAAAATACAAAAAAACAGCTTTTGTGGGAGATAAGAGAAGCACAGACTGTTTTGAATGAGCAAATCTTAACTCACCGGTTGCTGTCAACCGCAAAAAAGTCAACCGCACTCCTCCGGCCAAACTCCCCAAACTCCGCCCCGTCTGCGCCGACTTTCAGTCCGTCTAAAGCCCAGATTTGATGCTGAGATTTCGCAAAGGGTCCCCGCAGGATATTAAAAGCAGAGCAGTTTACTCCTTTTGCTCTCCCCCGAGTTCTCTCAGCCTGGTTCTTGTCGCTCGGCCCGGGGAGGAACCAGACGGAGAGGAAGCGGAACCTCGCAGAAACAAGCGGAGGAGCGCGGAGGGGTCGGAACCTGCCGGCTTCCGTAGCGCACATTTGGCCAAACTCGGAAGGCGCGTAAAGCAGCTGAAGATGAGCGCTGCGCAACTTCCACCGCGATGCCACCTAGAAGCAGAGCGTTCCTGATTTTCAGAATAATGTTTGTATTTCCAGCCTTTAATAATACTAATAGTAAAGAGAATAAACATATATATTATTTTCATTATTTATTCTTGATGAACTGCATAATGATTTTCTCCACTAAAAGCAAGACAACAGTTGAACATAGATATCGTGACACGCTCAATTGTTTTGAATTCAATTCAGTTTAATTTTATTTACAGTTCATTTCAAGACACGATGCATCAAGCAAATTTATTATATGGCAACTTATCACACACAGAGGTTATTTAAAGTGCTTTACAGGCAAAATTTTGTAAAGAATAAAATTAAATGAATTTAGATGAATAAATCAAAAACAGAGCTTAGCTACAAGTTAAATAAATTAATGTATAAATTAATTGAAACTGCCCCAGTTGACCAATACAACAGAAAAAAACAGAAAATAAGAAAATAAAACATTGTACATGTAAAAATTAACTAATTAATGAAAAGCAGTAGAGGGAAAATTTTCTTTTGGCTTACCTTTTTACTGAAATTGGGGAAAATCTAAGTTTCGTGGGGTTCAAGCAGTTGCACATATATGTGCAAAAAGTGGGTAATTTTTTGTCATTTTGAAAAGTGTTTGTTATTTAAGCTACAATTTCACAAATATCTTCATTTATATCCATATGTTGTGCTATAAAAAGCTGACATGTATATTTTATGTACACACAGCACAGTTAAAACCTGCAGCTTTTATTTCATTCTTCTAAAGCTATAACACTCTATACTGGATATATATAATCAGCATCATTATACTCATAGATATGTGTAATAAAGGCCTTTATTATGCATATCTATGATTATACTATTAGAAACCGGTGTGAAAGGCGGCGAAGTGCTATTTTATTTTGAAGGTTACGACCGGAAGTTGTATCCTAACTGCGGGTGACTGGACCGTCAATTTGAACAGCAGCGAAAAGGAGCCCAAACATCAACAGCAACATCAGAAACGTGGAGCCACAGCAGTCTTTGGAGAAAAAAACAAGACTGTCACTGAGTTGAAGACAAACAGTACGAATGATTTGTGGAGCACAACCCGCTCTCTAACTGTATTTATTGACACGGAGACAATAGTAAAGAAGATAGCGCAGAGTAAGCTAACAGATTAAATGCTGCTATTTTAAGCTAACGTTAAGATTCATATTAACGGTTCGTCTGGTTTTGTTTTTTTCACCTATGAAACAGAGATGTGGCTACCTTTTATCAGTTTATAGGTTTGTGGGTAGGAAATATGATAGCTTGGTGCTTATTTAGCTGGTAGTTTAATTTCAATGCAGGCGTAACTTGCTACCCATCCTTTGTAAGTTCTAAAGTTTGTTGTTACACCTCCCAGGTCACGTGACTTACCAGGTGTTAACTCTGACAATTAAAGCTGCTCTTTACTGTTTTCTGTCACAACTTGTTTTATTTATCCATCTGTTTGTTTCTCTTCTCTGTCTCCAGGCATCATGTTTTCCCGCAGGTGGAGGTTTGGTTGGGACAGGTACACTGAGGTGGACCTCTTCGCAGACCGCCATGAGACCAATGCAGAGACTCTGTCCCAGGCCATCAGAGCTGCTGCAGCATCCGAGGAGCCAGATGCAGACGGCAGCGTGCTGTTTGGCCACCTGAGGGGAAGCGTGGTCGGCCTCAGATATTACACAGGGGTGGTGAGGATCACTCTCTATCACCTTTATTTCTCTAGTGCACAGATTTCCAGAAATGCCGCAAATGATTTGTGTGTTGCTCCCTGGACAGGTGAACCGAGGGGAGATGGTGGGTTTAGTGCGGGAGCCCCAGAATCCATATGACCGCAACGCAGTCATGGTTGCCAACGTTTATGGCAACCAGGTAGGACACATCAAGAAGGAGCTGGCTGCAGCGATGGCCTACGTCATGGACAACAACCTGGCTAAAGTAGAGGGGTGAGTTGTGATGGGTTTGACAGAATATGATTGAGGAAAAACAAAAGCCATTAATTCTTCCTTAAGTATAATCAGAAACATCCTTATAAAGCTAGAAAATATGTTGAAGACTGAACATTTGTGAGTTTAGGCGTATATTTTTACACGTCTCTTTGCTTGGTTAGGGTGGTGCACTCAGGGACGAACAACTCTTTCAACATGCCAGTGAATCTGTCTTTCTGGGGGAAAGAAGAGAACAAAAACACTGTGATGGAATCTCTGGCACGTCGCGGATTTAAGCTGAACACAGGTGTAGGCGTTCAAACAGGTACACTTCCAAACACACTCCAGTCACACCTACTGTTCCTGGATAAAAAAAACTTCTGTTGCTGCATTAAAAATGACCGTGTTCGCTCATTGTCATTAACTTCATTGATTTTATTTGCGTGCGTTTGACTTTGCGTGTTTGATCTCAGGTGCATCTCAGAAATCATTCAGTGCTCCAGGTACTTATGGATTTCCACCTAAAAAAGGCTTGACCATCCCACTAACTGCAGATGAGGTAATAAATTGAGTTCATGTGAAGTGTAAGGACATGGCAAAAAACACAATATTTAATGTAATATGTGACAATCTTGAGAAAACGAGAGAGAAAATCGTAGTGCAACCAAACTCTGGTTTATCATCCACACTTGCTAAATGTACTGAGTTCTCATATTTGACCCAACATAAATTGAATCATGAGGTTGTTCCATTGGAGTAGGAGGGATGAGATCAAAGTAGGATTAAGGTAGTTGATGAATAGAAGATAATCAAGCTTCAATGCTGTATTTACAGGCAGTCGTAGAGTATTTTGTACCTACTTGCAGTGTGTAGCTGAAGGTTGTATAAGGAACACTGCATTATTAGTTAAGGCTTTCAGAATATTTTTTTTGCATAGTGGATTTATTGCTAATCAAATTCAATCACAGCAATGTTCTAAAAATTGTAGACTTTAGCTAATGCTGAATCAATTTATGCTGGATTACCTTTTTTTTTTTGACAAAGATTCTTTTTTCTTCCAGCTAAAGAATGCATTTGATAACCTGTTTGAAGGGTTGATGGAGAGTAAAGATGGGGAGAAAGAAGCAGCTGAGGTACGAATTTGATTTGTTTATCTGTCTGTC